ACTAATATTGGCAGTAAACTTACAGAGCTGCATCAACATTTATTGAAAAAGTGACGCTTTTTATGTATAAGATTGAGGGCGCGAAGTTAGTACTAAATCTGGAATATTAATGGTGCTAAAAAAAAAAAAGAAATACGGTGACAGAATGTGCCTTTTGTATATTATCTAGTTAAGTACTGAAGGTCTTTTGTATATGTATAAAAACAACTACTGTTTAAAGTATTAAATCAGATTTAAAACAGGGCATAAGCTTTTGTGCTTTCATCTTCTGCACATGAATGCAACTTACGGGAAAAGGACAAGGAAATCTTTCTCAGATGACATCTTCAAAGATGGTTTGGCATGACCTCACAATCAACACACCAACGCTCTCTCTCTTTCCCTTCCTTCCCTCTCCCTCCCCTCTCCTCTCCTCCCCTATCCCTCTTCCTCTCCCTTTCCCACTCTCGCCCTCTCCCCCTCCTCCCTCCCTCCAAGCCACACCAACATCAACGCCAAACCCACTCAGACCCAACCGCTTCCCATCCCAGGCACAGAGGACGCCCTGGTGGTTGCAGTTCCCCGACACGGACCGACCCGTCCCGAGGCCGAACTACCTGCCCAGGTCAGTGCCGCGGGACTTCGCCGAGCGCCTGGCGAGCTTCCACGGCGACCCCTTCGCCTGGTGGATGGGGCAGTTCATGAAGTACGCCATGAGGATGAACCGGGGATTCCAGGAGGCCGTTGAGAAGCTCGGCGCCCGCCTTGGCTTCGAGGGTCCTGTTGTTGGGTGCGTGGTGGGGATTGTGATTTGCTTTAGGGTTAAAAAAGTAAATAAAGTAAAAAAAAGAGGAAAAGAAGGAGGAAAAAAGAGGAAAAGAAGGAGGAAAAAAGAGGAAAAGGAGGAAAAAAGAGGAAAAGAAGGAGGAAAAAAGAGATATATACGTGCACACACACACACACACATACACACTCGCGCGCGTGTGTGTATGTGGATCTATTTTCTTTTTTTCTGTTTCTTTAGCTTATCATTGTTATAGAGGCAGTAATAACATGGTCCTTATGATTAGGACAATTCTCATAGTGCAAATAACAAACATCATTCGTTTGCTCTTTGTCTTCATTATTATTATTTCTTAACATCAGTACTTAGTATTTTTATCATTGTTATCATTTTCATCATCAATATTGATGTCATTAACATTATTTTCAACTCTTACTGTTATTATTATTAGTATCATCATCACATTATTATTATCATTATCATCAATATTCTATTATTATTACTATTATCATTATTATTAAAATTCTCATTATTATTGTTTTTGTCATTATTACTATTATTATCATTATCATAATTGTCATTATTATTATTATTATAACTGTTATCATTATCTTCATTAAAATAGTTGTTGCTATTGCAGTTATTGCTTTTATTATTACTATCATTATTTTTAACAGTATCAATTGCAAAAACACTGATGTGTTTTTGCAGTTGATACTTTTATTGGTAATAATGATATCCTTATCATCATTATTTATGATAATGATTCCGGCAATATTGATAATAGAAATGATAATAATGATAATGATAGTAATATAGTTGATAATGATATCAAATATTATCAGTATTACTATTACTATTATTACCATCATTATTATTAACATTATTATCTTTATCATTACCATGATCATCATCATCATCATTATTATTATTACTGATGTTTTTTTTATTATTGCTATCATTATTACCTCTGCCAAGGAAGTCATGTTTTGGGTACAGCTGGCTAATTAGTTTGTTTGTTGGACGGCAGGATAGCTTAGTAAGTTATCAACAAATTTTTATTTTATCTTTTTTTTTTTTTTTTTTTTTTTTTTTTTACCAAAGGTGTGTCTAGATGCCATTATATTTTGGATCCAGGAATCTGTTTTGTAATTTTTCAACTGTGACTATTTCTATTGCCTGTGACCCTATTGCCTTGGCGGAGGTATGCGCTCTCTGAGTGTTTCCAGGTATTGCCATTATCATTATTGGCATTATTTTATCATCGTTATTATTACTATTGTTATTATTATTATTATTGTCATTATTATTATTATTAATGTTATAACTTTACATTTATTGTTATCATCATCATTATTATTACTATTATTGTTGTTATCATTAGTGTTATTAGTAGTAATAATAAAAATGGTAGCATTCTTATCATTATTGTTTAATAATAATAAAAAGGATCATTATTATTATTATCATTAGCTGTAAGCCCTGCCAATAACATGATTGCTTTAACGGTCGTACCTTATTATGGCTGTTATTATCACCTAATTCCATTCACTAGTTCCGCCGTTGCTATTCTTCCCTCAGAGTGCAAGTCAGAAGAACAGACAAGCTGCTTCACGACTCCAGACTCATAGGACTGGAGGAATACATGGAGGCCGTCGACGACTTCTACAACGACCTGGAGGTTCGGGGGACGACGGTGACGACTCGCAAGGTCTACCTGGCCACAGACGACCCGCAGGTCCTCAAGGAAGCCAAGGAGAAGTTAGTGTGTGGAGGCGTCTTGTGTGTGGTCTGTGAGGTTCTGCGTTTGAGTTTTGAGTATGTGTGCGGGGTCTCTCTCTCTCTCTCTCTCTCTCTCTCTCTCTCTCTCTCTCTCTCTCTCTCTCTCTCTCTCTCTCCTCTCTCTCCTCTCTCTCTCTCTCTCTCTCATGTGTGTGTGTGTGTGTGTGTGTGTGTGTGTGTATGTGTGTGTGTGAACGAATGGAAATTCCTTGTAATAATAGTAAAATAATGATAATAATGGTAATAATGATATTAATAAGGATAACAGTAATAATAATGATAAAAAGAAGAATGCTATCATTATCATTATTGTTACTACTGCTATTAGTTATTAATGTTGTCATTTTATTATTATTATTGTTATCATTATCATTATACTACTTATTATTATATTATCATTATTACTGTTACAACTACTGTTATTGATAATATCAATTTTATTATGTGATAGTAATAACTACAATAACACTCAATCTACTCCTAATAATACCTAATACTACATCCACGCGCAGCCCAACCCTCCCCCCCCTCCTCCCTCCTCCCCCCGGAACACAAACTAACGGCTCCCTCCTCAGGTTCCCTCGCCACGCCTTCGTGTTCAACGAGGAGAGCGTCGCCTCCGCCAGCATGAGGCAGCGGAGGAGTGACGCCAACATGAGGAATCTTATGAGCGATGTTTACTTCCTCTCTCGCTCGGATTTCCTCGTCTGTGGCATGTCGTCCAACGTAGGTCTTCTGAGTGTTTTTATTATTATTTTTTGGCTATTGTTCGTACCCTTGTGTCTTCCAAAGAGTCTCTACGAAGGTGGGAGCAAATACTGGAGGTTCTTTTCGCCGCTGTGATTATTTGGAGATACAGAGAGAGGAAAAGATGCGTCCTTCCTCTCTCGCTACCTCGGGACCTCTGATCATTCGTGTCGTGCGCATGCGTGAGAGTCAAAAACAAAACGGTTGCCACGTCATATAATGTGCAATGTAGAGTTATGCCAGCCGTGTATGCTGTGTTGTGTTGTGTTATGCCAGCCGTGTATGTCCAGCCGTGTATGTTGTGTTATGCCAGCCGTGTATGTATGTTGTTATGCCAGCCGTGTATATGTGTATGTTGTGGTTATGCTGTATGTTGTGTTATGGCCGTGTATGTTGTGTTATGCCAATGCCCCGTGTATGTTGTGTTATGCCAACCAGTGTATGTTGTATGTGTACTTACCCAATATACAACATGAATACAAATTATGGTAATATATATGTGATAATACATATTGAGTTAAATACATGGTTTACATACATGCTATCTATACAGATGACACACTCACATGTCCACAGGACCAACGTTGATAGCGTTACTATGGTTAAAGTTTGTGTTGTTATTAACGTTATTATTATCACCATTACTGTTATCATTGTAATTGCTACTGTTACTTTTATCATTATCAATGTAATTGTTATTATTATTATTGCCATAGTCACGGGTATAAGTATTTTCTGTTGCTCTTGCTCAGTAATTGTTACTTTTACTGTAGAATAATTAGTGGAAGGACATATTAACAAAATATCTAGTAGAATGCTGGGTACTGCACAGTGCCTTGACTTCACTGAAATTCCTCTGTCTCTCAACCAAGCATGACTGAAAATGAAAATGAAAATCAACTTAACAA